CTAAAAAATCCTAAAAATCAACCATTTCTCGGCTGTTTACAGATGGATTTTGTTCAAACTTGGTATATACATTAGACATTATGGGACCTTGATGCAAATAATTTGTTTTTCAGATAAGATTCAAAATGACTGTCTGGAGGCCATTTTGTTTTAATGAATGGGCTTGTGGACCCATATCTCGACTTGTTTTGACTGATAATATTTTCAAATTTTAAATATTCATTATACATCTCATGTCATAGATAAACAGATATATTGGTTTGACTATCCTATTCAAAATGGCCGAATGGTAGTCATTTTTGTGCTAAAAAATCATCAAATATCAAGCATTCATGGGTGGATTTCGTTCAAACTTGGTACATACATTAGACATTACGGGTTCCTGATGCTCGTCATTTTATTTTTCAGATTGGATTCAAAATGGCTGACTGGCGGCCATTTTGTTTTAATGATTGGGCTTTTAGAGCAGAGCCATATCTCTTAAATGCTTTGACTTATTATATTTAAATTATATATATTCGTTATACATCATGTTATATATATACATGTATTCAAAATGGCTGATTTTGAATGCAGTTCCAGAGCATTATCTCTCAATATGGACAAGTACTTGTTTGACCATCAGATACAAATGTCAATCATTTTAATGTTAAAAAATCATATTCCTGACATGGTTATATTCCAGCTATATTACTATAAACAAAACTATATATCTTAAATTTGATAACTAACGGGGTCTGTGCCATGCATGGCTTGTTATTGTCAATACTGTATTTAAATTCCTATTATATATAGTTGTTTTTCCCTGTCACGCTTGATTAATGGAGTGTTACTGTACAGTGTTAGAGCTAAGCGTACATAATGTTGTCTAACACGTTTCCAGCAAGCTAACCTCAAGCACCAGTTTCCCAAATTGCTCCACACGAGTGCAGCTCCATGCATTAGAAGAAACGTTTATGATTCTATCTGAGTCCCATGATTTCCTGAAATAACAATGTATTTGTATTCATAGCCAATACACTTCGTGATTAAAGAAGAGTCAGTGGAGGGTTGGTTATTTTAATACCTACTTCGCAATAATTGGTCACATCAATCGGTGCCATGTAGTCTGCGTTTGACGTCGTCTGTTGCATTTAGTAAATTAACAATATATAAGATAACTTATAAGTCCAAGAACACAAAACATATGACTGATAAATAAAAACAAACTACTAAAGGTTACATTGTCGAATCAGTGTTAACAACGTCTGGTTTCCCCCAACTATAGTTTCGCTTGTTACCCACTCTTCCTTGGAGTCCAGATTGCTGCTCTGATTTCAGTCGTAAACCATGTCAATACATTATACTAATGTCGAGAATTGGGGCGGTCACATTTTAGTACCTGTTAAAAAGTGAATGGGTAAATTAACATCAACCCAGAAGAACAGATTTTGTAAAAAATATGAGATTTAGGTTGATCAATAGAGGTTCATTTTCACTTTTGTGTCAGGTTATTCGCCATTTCCTGTTCAACCTCAAAACATTTTTGAAAAACGAGAAGTTCAAAAATTGACATTTTTTGAATGAAAAAAAACGGAACTTAATTTGTAACCGTATTTTTGTGATGAACGACGTGGTATTTCTCACCTGAGTTCTAATGCCTACTCATATGCATAAGTCAAACTACTGAAACCGCCGTATTCTAACTCAACGGGTCCTGTTTTACTTTTTTTTTGGAGAGTCCCATGTAGTAACATTGTAATCCGCTGTAATATTACATTATTCAAAACAATTGGTTTGTCACTTAATTTTGTTGCATATGACCTTGTAAACAAACTTATTCGCCAAAAATAGAGAAATTGTACTTTCGTGAAGCTGTCTTGGCCAATCTTAAAATTGTGTTATCTAAGTTTAAATTGAATTTTCTGCAATCTTTTTACTGCACTTAATTGTATTTGAAAATATAACGTGGTGAGAATAATTTGTTGAAAAACTCATCAGCCTGAACAAAGTTAAGACTCGATTTATGACGATTTACACGAGTGAATGTGTAAGAAATGTATTAGGGCTAATATCTAGAATTTTATTAATATATTTATGTGCATTTCTATATAATGATGAATTTCTGTTTCAATTATATTATGTGGCCAGTGTTTTTGGCAATCGTGCCAGCTGGGCAATGACATTTTCCCGTCCCTTGAGTGCGACACTCACCCTACCAGTGTGACCATCTGCCAGCTGAGCGGCTGTCGTTATCAAATAGTCACCCTACTATTTTATTGATATAGATT